TACAACCAAAAAAAAAGAGAAAGAAAAAGAACTTGACAAACTAGGAAATGCCATCAATTATTATGTGAATCCCAATTTCACAAATACTAAAATGTGAAAAAAAAAAAACCTGCATCTTGAAATCTATGAAATTCAGTCATTTAGGTTAAGATAAAAACAGATGCCCCTACATAAAATATGATAATGTTCTGTCCTCTTTTTTATGGTAATCAACTAAAGATTAACTAAACTTTGGTTTTCATGACAAACTCAGACAAGAACTTTTTTCCCAAGACTTCAGGACCTTTAGCCAGCTATATCACATTATACCTTTTCTTCTTCTTCCCTTTCAGCCACGCTTGTTCAGTGCTGTCGTAGGCTTTCTCAGCCTTCCAGTGTTTGCCTGTTGGCATCTTTCTGTCTCGTCCTTCTCTTTGTCTATATAAGGGGAAAAAAATCTCTATCTGCCAAGAATACTTTAGCAAAAACCAAAAAAGAGAAAGATTGTGATGACATAGCACATAAATAACAACATTAAATCTCCCCTTGATGTTCTTTTCTCACACATAAAACAGTTAATCTTCTCTGTTCTCTATTTTTGCCACATTTAAAGTGATTAATCTCCTGCATCTTATTTGCTTGATTCCTGAAAATACCTTTTGAAGCTATCAAGATGACATTTAATAGTCCTTCCCTTACCCTGATTCTGGGCTGGTTATTTTGGGAAGAAAGGCCTCCATGTTTTCCAGCTTCCTCTAGGTCACTGATTGTGATTTGGTTCAGGTACACTGGCTTCCCCACTGCATCGGAAAGGTCTCTTAGAAATCCCAATATTCATCTTGCTTCCCCCATTTCTTTGACTAATCTAGAGCTAAAATATTATCTTTTTTTTTTTCCTTTTTTTGAGAAGAGTCTTGCTCCGTTGCTCAGGATAGAGTGCCATGGCATCAACCTAGCTCACAGCAACTTCAAACTCTTGGGCTCAAGCGATCCTCCTGCCTCAGCCTCCCAAGTAATTGGGACTACAGGCAAGCACCAGCATGCCTGGCTAATTTTTTTCCTGTTTTTAGTAGAGATGGGGTCTCCCTCTTGCTCAGCCTGGTCTCATAACCCTGACGTCAAACAATCCTCCCACTTCAGCCTCCCAGAGTGCTAGGATTATAGACATGAGCCACCACGCCTGGCCAAACGTTATCTTTAGAAGTTCACTTGAGTCCAGCTGAAATTTTTTCAAAGGAAATTTTACTAATAAAATAAAGCAAAATTAAGAATGCACTCTAATTCCATTTTCACATATAAATTTAAAGTCTAAATTCAAAATTTACTTTAAATCATATATGTATTTATTAATTCATTTAACAAACATTTATTAAGCCTCTGTGATGTTTCAAACACTGGGCTAGGAAGAGGAGATACCAAGATGGATATGACCAAGAACCTAGCTGAGAGACACACCTGGCAAAACATGGTCATAATAGCTCCCATCCCGGGTCATGAGGGCTGAGCAAAGGCAGCAGTTAACGCTACATGGAGAAAGAGCTGGCTTTAAGAGGCTCTGGCATGTAGTCTGAGGCTGGAAGAATAGAATTTCAATATTCCCACAAATAGTGATGGGGACTTTCCAGCCAGAGGTAATGCTCCAGGGCAGGATGAGCGTATATCTGTACCTGAGTTTGATGAGCTCTTGTCTAGAGTTACATGAGAAAGTTGTGGAGATCAACAGGCACATAGGGACTTGATCATGAATAGTTCTGTGGGCCATGTTTTATCTCAAGGTAATAGGGTGCCACTGAGACGAAGGACCACAATATGGTCAGATTTGTCTCTGACAAGAACGATTCTCACAACACAGTGGTATGGCCAATGGACTGGAAGAAGGTTTTGAGCAAAGGAAGGACAGGATATTATATCAAAAAATGTTAGTAAGAAATGATAACTTGTAAGGAGGTAGTGAACATGCCTTGAACTTACTGATTTAACTTGGCAAGGCATGTCTGGAATTCAGGAAAAAAACTTGAGTTTAAGACAAGGATTCCGGAGTCACCAGGACATAAATAATAGTTGGGATCAGAAAGTGAATGTCACTACTATACACAGGCAGAGGAGCTCTGAGCATGGCATCTAAAAGGCAGTTGAATCAACTAACGCCAAAGAAAAAATTGCTTTCTGAGAGGTCAGAAAAAAACAAGGGGGATGATCACAGGAGCAAAGGGAAGGGAAAGGAGTTCTGATGAATGATATTAACTAATCAAATATAATTTGGAATAAAAATATTCCTCAGATTCAGAAATTATGAAAATTAGCATAGTGTGAGCCATTTCACAGATTGGTTGGCACCTTTTATAGTAGGATTAACCAGGATTTTTTTTCTTTTTTGTCTTACCTCAAGACTGAATAGACTTTGGGAATTTCCTTATTTACTATCTAATTTGTCCCTCCTCTTCTCTTCAAGAGAATGAATGGCCGCTCAGTAGCCCAGGGAGCATCCCTTCAGCAGGTGAGAGCAGGCCATTGCCTTACATGGTTGACTGCCTCTCCTGGGAGAAACAAACCATTCAATAGTCCCCAGACTGTGCCAGAGCTGTTCCCCAGTGAAACTCTACCACTTGGTTCTTACAAAGGTCAAAAATTTATTCTCTAATAAGCCCTTTTAGCAAGTGAATTAATAACCTGCCACCAATTTTCCTCTGAGTATATTTTTTCCTAGGATTAGTTCCTCCTTTAACATGAAGAATGTTAAAAGCTCTTTCTTTGGCCAAAAGTTTGACTTAATGTTGGCCATCTACTGGTTTTCTGGTCATTGATGTTTTTTTTGATTCCTCTGGATATCTTGGATATCCATACTTTGGTGTCACAAAGGAGACCCTCAATTTCTCAGCCAGTATGTGGTTTGGATTTCTGAATTCTTATTGGCTTCTACCACTAGAAACACTGTATCATTAACCCTGTATTTTAAGTCTTTACTACTGACCTCCTGCTCACTCTCACCTTGTCCCTTCTGGTTGTAGCACCCCGATTCCAGCCCACCCCTTTTGTATTCTGTTTACCCAGAAAAGCTAAAGCCTGGTGACATTTTCAAGCTTACTTCTGAGTCAAGCCTTTGATCTATATTACTTTCACAAATGATATGCCTTCCCCCTACGCCTGTCTTAAATTTAAAATAAAATGTAACCAAAATGTTTGTACCATCATAATACCTTGAAATAAAAATAAATAAATAAATATAAATAAATAAATAAATAAAATTTTAAAACAAGTCATAGAGGATATAAAGTGCTTTCCCCCACACATTATAAAAGTAATTATTGTTATATATAACTTTAAACTGTCAGACAAAAAGTATGAAAGGAAGAAAAATCATTTATAGTTATACCACCCCAACATTTTATCATTTTGTTGAAATTCATTTTTAGTTTTCTTTCTAGTCAGAGATTTTTATAAATTTGTAAATTTTTATTTTCCACATGTACACATAATTTCACGTCATGATTTGTTCACTAAAGGACATGTTTTCTAAATAAAAATACTGCTAAATAAATATAAGCAAATTAAGAGAAATTTCACTTCAATAGCAATACCTAGATATTTATAATGTATCATAATTTTCAAGCCCCTATTATATATATCACCTTTTAAGTTATATTATTGTATTTATTGAATTTTTAATTATAACTGGCTAACAGTTGTAAATATTGTTAAAATTGGTTGCAAGAAATAAACTCTTTAGGAATGACATCCAAAAAACTCTATGATCTTTGTCTTCTTTAGTTTTCTGAACTCAACTTGTGCTAATCCAGTATTTACTAAAATATACAATCTTTACTAAAGTGTTTTCTTAAATCTGATAAAAGAAGAATGGAAATCCTTATAATTATTCATTTGTATTTCATCCAGATGGGTATCAAGGCAGATCTTAAAAAAGGAAAAATATTAGCCTAAAACATCAATGTTCCAATTTCCTAGGAATTTCAGTCTGTATCAGTTTGTATAAAATTTCCTGACTCAAACTTTTTGATCCGCATTTACCTTACAGTCTAAAAACAGTTTCAAAAATGATAAAACAATTCTGTCAGCCCCTCTTCTCATTGGCTTTGTTATAGTCAATGATTCTCTGCTCCCCAGATAAGACCAAGTGTTACAGTCTAGGGAATTTTCTAAAGTAGAAATGCCTACTCCCTGATGCGTACACTGTAAGCAGTATTTCCATAATTATTACCTCTCGATATAACCGAAGCATTTACAGCTATTAATATAAAATATCTAGCTCCTAAGTCAACTGATTTGTCTCACTAAATCCCCCACATTTATTAAAAATAAAGATACATTAGTTACTCCAATAAAACATTAAAACTCTTCTAAAATAGTGAGCTCTTGTAGTACAGATTCTGTCTGGAAGCCCTAAAAATATCCTATTATGGCTGAAATACTGAGCCAAAACCTAGCTGCTATTGAAAATGACAAAAATGCCCCATTTTGTTTTAAATAAATTATAAACAACTCCAATATACAAATAATGTGAACTTGAAAATGGAAAATATTTCTGAGTCTAGAAAGGTTTTTTTTGAAAGTAAGTGACAGGATTAAACATCACTTTTCTGCTTATGTGGTGTGACATTTTTATTTTGTTTCAAGATACTTTACTTTTTGTGTGACTCTGGAGTTTGTAAACATGCCATAATTTTGGAGATTATATAATGATAATTTTATGGTTCTAGCTTAGTATAAAGGGGACTAGACAGAGCAGCAAAATTGATTTCTTTTTTACCTTCATGGAAAGAGACACAGGGAAATTGAATGCAAAATTTGCGTTAACGCCATATTAGAATTATATAACTCAACAATCTGTTACGCATGAAGTGAAAAACAGGAGTAGCCAAGTGTTAGTTATTGTGCTGTGATATTCAGTCAATGGGTTAAGTTAAAAAAAGACCCTTTGTTTAACTCATGCCTTGTTTTGTTACCCACAGTGTGACAAATGCATATGACCTGACACTATTTCTTGTTGTCTCCTCTTGCCAAAGGTACTCAGAGGCAGGACTGTCCCTAGGCAAAATCATAAAGTAGGTGAATCTTGTATTCATTCCCTACCCTTTTGCAATGACAATCTCACCTTAGATTCTCTCCACCTCCCTTCCCCAGGTACCTACTCCAGTTGCTCATTGCTCTGGATTTCCCCTCTGTTTTTCAGAGGGCTCATGCTATCTTTCCTTGCCCAATCCCTCTCTGATTATGTAATTTTCCTGCTCAAAAATGTTCAGTGGCTCCCCAGGAGCTGGGCCATTAAGATCCTCCCTCCTTATCTTTTCATTTTTGTTTCCCACTCTCCCTTCCACACAGTATACTGCGAGTAGATCACTCGCCTTGCCATTTTTATTTACACACTTCTTTCCATGCTATTTCTTTTGCCCGAGCTGGCCTTCACCTCTCATCTCCATCTACGGACATCCTGCTCATCATTCAAGGTTCTGCTCAGCTATGCCATCTCTCCATGCCTTCTCTGATCACCCCCAGCCTCTTTCCTCTGCATCTCGTCCATACCAGTCATATGGCATTTGACACATCTTGCTTTGTATTATAATATTTATGTATGTGTCTTGTCTCCAGGCACTGTGCTGGGTGCTTTACAAACATAATCTCTTTTAAATTTCACAACAATCCGATGAGGTAGGTATTATTATACCATTTAACAGCTGAGGAAACTGAGGCTCAAATAGGTTAAATAATTTGCCCAAAGTCACACTGCTATAAAGTAACAAAGCTAGGACTTAAACTCAGGCCTGACTCCAAAACATAAATGCTTTCCACTGTACCATATTGACATCTACTCAGTTCTTTTCCATCTTCTGAAAGATAGCATGAGGGTTTAAGTTAGAGAAAGAATTAAATTTAGGTTTTCTTTTTCTTTCTTTCTTTCTGTTTTTTTTTTTTTTTTT